AAAAAAAAAAAAAAAAAAAAAAAAAAAAGAGCAGAGAGATAGTTCTAGATTAAGGGGATTTAGAGACATGGGAACTAAATGCAATGTATGATCCTTCACTGGATCATGGATTTAAAAGAAACAGCCATAAAGCACTGTTTTGAGACTGTTAGGAATTTTGAATGCTGACTATGTATTAGCTAATATCATTTGTATTAGCATTAAATTTCTTTGGTATGATAATGGTTTTATGGCTTAAAAAAATAATTTCCTTGTTCTTAGGAGGTACATACTCAAATACTAGGGATGAAGTGTTATCATGTCTCCAATTTACTGTCAAATGGTTCAGCAAAATAAAAGTTCAAATACGTGGAGAGAGAAGGCAAATGAAGCAAATGTTAACTGGTGAATCTAGGTTAAGAGTATATGAATGTGCATGCTTTCAAACTTTAATGTAGGCTTGAAATTTTTCAAAATGAAAATCATAGAGGAGATGAAAAGAAATTCTAAGAAAAGGAAAATATGACAACAAAATTTACAATGTGGTGTGAAGTCGAAATGAAAGCTAACTCCCAGGGGTTGGGAAAAAAATCTCTACAATTTTTCTAACCTTAAAAATAGTTTTGTAGGTATTGACATGTTAATGATGCTTTGGCCCTATTTCCTAAACATAAACTTAAATCAGGATGGGTGTACTAAAAATAGGAAAAGAATCAATCAGAAAGGGAAGAGAAAAGAATGGAATGGAACAGAAAGAAAGGAGCACTATCCCTGGACAGTTTGCTCTCAGTTCTGTAAAAAATAACTTCTATATGCACAGACATAAACATTCACATGTCATGGAAATCCTCACTGTCCAGTTTTGTTTTGTTTTGTTTTGTTTTTTTAATTATTCGCCCCCCCTAGAGCTTTATCCCTCACCCTCACAGCAGCGGTTTGTGAATCATTACTGTTGCTTCCACCAGCCTTGCAGATCTGTGAGAACACGGACCTGGTCTTATTTAATGGCAAATAATACATACTCAAAGATTCTTTTAATGAATGAATGGACACATGAGTTCAGAATAAGCACATAGGGAGGCAGTGGAAGCTGTCCGGGCTGGGGAAAAGGGGGCTGGAATCAAAGCAGGAACCAAAGGAAGAGGGAGAAGTCAGACCATGCTGGATTAGGTGGTGGGCAACCACAGTCCGGTTCTGCCTCATGATCCAACTTTCTTCTGCTCGAATTTACTGGACTGGGAGCTTCTGCAAGCCGCCTAGCACAATGCTGGACACAGAGCAGGCGGCCAGGTGACAAATCTCTGCTGAAGAATGAACTGCAAGTCCTCGAGGAGGTGAGATTTCCTGATGATGCCCTTCCCCATCAACCAGCTTCGTCTTTGTCTTTGTTATAAAAGCTAAAAAGCAAGCTGAGTCTAATAAAGTCGATATTTAACCTTATCTTTATTTTTGGCCTGACTTGCCTAGCTGGTTCCGCTCAGTTGCACCATCTACCTACTCAGCTGTGAAAGCCACAGTTCTCGCCAACCACGGTGACCTTCTCAGTAGCTAGAGAAGGCCACGTGTTTTCTTGAGGTTCCTTGCTTAGAAAATAAATAAGCCAATAAACTTTCAACTAGCTCTAGCCTTTAGTGTGCCTAAAATGGTTCCCAAGAGTGCCTCCTGTGAAGGGACTGGCCAATGCAATGGGGGCAACGTGTAACAGCAGTAGGAGCCAGTGTTTACCGCAAGCCCAGCCCAGCGCCATGCTCTTCACTCTTCGGGGACACTGGCAGCCTGGACTCCCGGGAGAGCCCAGGGAACAGATCCTCTGAACCCACATTAAATGACTCTCCCAAGCCCAGAGCCACAAATTAGCAGGGATGGGGTCCCCCGCAGACCCAACACCAGCCCTCATGCTCTTACCCACAGCTCTCGGCTGCCTGTCAGGGCCTACAGCAGTGGCTGGCCAACTACAGCCCACAGGCCACGTTCAGCCTGCCACCTGTTTTCATAAATAAAATTTTACTGGAACACAGCTACACTCACTCATTTACGTATTATCTGCAGCTGCTTTCACGTTCTAACAGTGGCACTGATTCGAGACTCTCTGGCCTGCAAAGCCTAAAATGTTTACTCTCTGGTGCTTTAGAGGAAAAGGGTATCAACTCCGGGTCTATGAAATCCAAGCAGAAACCCTGTGGCTCTGATCACAGGGCAGGGTGAAGTCTACTCAGATGAAAACACCTTCTGTGGATCCCATGAGGAAATCAGCTTCCACAAGGCACGTTGAGGGTTTTACTTTTCAACAAAGAAAGAGCATCATTTCCTCACTGCTTTATATTCCAAAACCAATCTCTTGAGCACTATAAGGTTGCTAGGTGCGAAAAGGGTGGGGAAAACTAAACTTTACAGCTCCTGGCTCCCCACGCTTCCACTTCCGATGTAAGCAGAAGCCTTGGCCAGGACCCCCAGATGAAGCTGACCCCCTCCACCCTCCCCACCTCCAGTGAGGTAGGTAGCCATGCCCCATTGTACCTGCACCCACGGAGGGGAGTACAGAGCACTGGGGCACTTACATCTGCTTTCAAAACTGTTCTGAAAATCAAGAAGCAGGGTCATATGTTAAAAATAGGCAGGGTGATGTCTTGGCAAGGGAAAAGGTCCAGTTGAAGGTGATTCATGGCAAAGCATAGGATGGAGGAAAAGAAGCCAGTTTTGACAAGATCAGGGGAAAAACTAGGTTCCTGCACACGGACTTAATTTGTTACTCAAGATTTGAGAAAGGCTAATTTTACCAAGAGACACAATGCTATGCATTTTACATGCATGATCTCCTTTAATCCACACAAAATCCTGTGACATAGATATCAGCGTTCACATTTTATAGAGAGGAA